TCGGGGGGGCCGGACTTTATTGTATAATATTCGTAAAAACATTAAGAAAATATTTACATTGTGAGTCATAAGCTTCAAAATTTAATTATCTAGACTCCAAAATTTAATTATCTAAATTAGAAAAATATTATAAGCTCCAAAATTTCATTATCTAGTTTGAACTTTGAAATTAAAAAGTATTTGAATAAGTACAAAAGTTAAGTGATCAATCTAAATTTTAAACAAAAATTCAACCAAAATAGGAAAACTAAAAAAACAATGTTGCTGCCAAGGATTGAACCATGGTACTGGGTATTCACAAATACCAAGTAGCTGCATTCCGTTAGACTAGACCCAAACATTGTTGCTCATTATTGCACGTTATTGTTATTCTACAATAGTTCACTTCTTCAGAATTTTCAAAATTCCCGATATTTTTACACGTGATCTCCAAAATTCTCGGGGGGGCCGGGGCCCCCCCGAGACACAAGGTAGCTCCGCCCCTGATCTCATCCCATGCTTCAATAGGATGCTGTCTATTTCTCCTCCTTTTCGTGCATAATTTATCCCACTAAACGAGAGCATAATCCGAAAACTCTAGGGCAACCATCGACAAAAAAAAGCTTTAGACATTTGTTAGGGATGGCAGTAGAACCCGAATTTACCCGACCCAACCCGGTCAACGCGGGTAAAACCCACTTTGACGGATTGCGGGCTGGATTTGGGTTTAAACCCTCTATTCATTTGCGGGTTTGGTTTGGGTTTAGCTATATCCAACCCGTGGATACCCGCATCCAAGTCCATACCCCCCACGACCCACAAAATCCTTAACTAATTAAATATAATTTTTAAGCTAATTCCTCGTACGTTCAATTAATTATATTATTTGTGGATTTTTATCTTTAATATTGAACAATTAGTAATTTAGAATGAATGATTTGTGAGTTAGTGCGTATATAGTAGACAAAAGTAGTGAACACTAGTGTAATTGCATCTTTGTACATGAACCCGCGAATATCCAACATGTTGGGTTGGGTTTAAGTTTTCTGAATCTAGTGAATTTTACCGCGGTTTTTTTGACGGACAAACTCATAGATTTGGATTCGGAAAAACCCGCTTCGACCCGACCCATTGCTAGGATTTCTTCCCCTGACCGGTAAACAAAGGCTTTGTTGTTCTATATCTTTAACTTTAAGCCCAATGTTAAGGGCTCAGAGTCCAAAATTACCATCCAGTCTAACAACCCATCATCAGGCCCAGCAAAACCCTAAAGAACGATTGATTGACAACCGTCGATTGCCACCTCCTATGCGAGTATAAAGCTTCCTTTGGCGCTAGGGTTTTGGCTCTCTGCAGTTTGCAAAAACTGAAACCATCGCCGGCTTATATATCTGATAAAGCGCCTCCCGACCTATTCATCCTGCTTCCTGCTACAAGATGGCGACCCAAATGAGCAAGAAGCGAAAGGTTTCTCTTCGATTTCTCTTCCTGCACATCTTTTATGCAATCAGAGTTGTAGAGATTGCTTCTGAGACTGCTTCTGATTTTGTGTGCCTCGCAGTTTGTCGCTGACGGAGTGTTCTTCGCCGAGTTGAACGAGGTTCTGACCAGGGAACTCGCCGAGGATGGCTACTCCGGCGTTGAGGTTAGGGTTACACCTATGCGCACTGAGATCATCATCAGGGCCACCCGCACCCAGAATGTCTTGGGTACTTTACTCTCTTTCATTTTCAATTATGTTTTTGATTTCGAGGGTGGGTTAGTTATCGTTGAATCATCCAATTGGGACAGATTTTGGTTTTTGTTTATGCTTTTATCTTTATCTGAGATTTGGGGATCTGGGTTTTGATGATGAAGGTGAGAAGGGAAGGCGTATTAGGGAGCTGACGTCGGTTGTTCAGAAGAGATTTAAGTTCCCCGAGAACAGCGTTGAGCTGTATGCTGAGAAGGTGAACAGCAGAGGTCTTTGTGCTATTGCCCAGGCTGAGTCTCTTCGTTACAAGCTGCTTGGTGGTCTTGCTGTTAGAAGGTTCACACCTTTTTTACCATCTCTTACAATCTTTATATGCTTTCGTGGAACTTTGGCGTGTTAGTTTTATGATATAATCGACACCTGTAGGTTAGCTTGAATATGAATATTGATGAATTCCAAATCGTTCTAAATCTTAATTACGGTTGTGGGTAAATGCTTTGATTTCCAATTGGTTCCGGAAATGGTAGTATGATTGCCGTCATTGTTCTTAATCATGTATCATGTGCTGATTGTCATCTATAAAGCGGATTTGCCTAACTCTTGACAAATTTTGTGTCGGAAGATGACTAAATTGTTTAATATTCCTCTGGTACATATTGTTTCATGAAATGCGATAAAGCTCATGCAGCTAGTTCTAGAGGAAACAATGCATATACAACAAATGTAATTAATTGTCGGTCAAACTCCCTAGGTTGTACATCAGAGTTCATAAGCTTAGGGTTCATTGTGCTGTCATTAACACAGCAGATTTGCTCTCTCCTGGCAAACTTGTGTCTAAAGATGACTAAAGGAATATGATTCCCCCGTTCAGTAATAATCATGAAATGCTTTTGCTTTCTTGTGATAACTGAATAGAGGATACATTATCATGTTGTTGGTTTGTTTTGGTGTTGTCTAATTATCTCCGCCATAATACTTCGACTGTGCCGGTTCTTCTCTCTTCTTTATGTTATTGTATTATTCCTTTGTTGATCCTTGTCCTCTGTTCTTTGCATCAGGGCCTGCTATGGTGTGTTGAGGTTTGTCATGGAAAGTGGTGCCAAGGGATGCGAGGTTTGTCTCTGATCTTTCATTCCGTGTGTGCACGGTGAATATCCAGTGATTGTTGGCTATTCAATGTTTCTAATAATAATGATGTGTTAACAGGTCATTGTTAGCGGAAAGCTAAGGGCACAGCGTGCTAAATCCATGAAGTTCATGGATGGTTACATGATCTCATCTGGACACCCAGTGAACGAGTACATCGACTCGGCTGTGAGACATGTCCTCTTGAGACAGGTTAGTCTCAGTTCGTCATGAACGTTCCAGCCTGCTGTCAAGTTGGTGTTCTCGTATGTATTGTAACATCCGCGATGCTGTTATCTGCAGGGTGTTCTTGGGATCAAGGTCAAGATCATGCTCGACTGGGATCCCAAGGGAAAGCTTGGCCCAACAACTCCTCTCCCTGATCTTGTTACAATTCACCCACCAAAGGACGAGGAAGAGTACCTGAGGGCAGCTTCTATGCCTGCTCCAGTTCCTGAGGCCGAGATTCCTCCCCCTGTTCCCGTTGTTGTTGCTTGAAACCCATCTTTTGAGTCGCTCTGTTCAATGGCTGGACAACATCTAAAATGTTTGCATGTTGAGGGGATGTTTTTAGTTTTCATGTCTACCTAGCATCTGTTTTGATAATTCTTGTGATAAATTTTGTTATGATAGATACCGGATATGCTATTTCAAGTGAACTCTATCGGTTGTGTGTTAACATTTAAGATAGCCAGGTTGCCTATTTATAATTCCTGCATTTCTGTTCTTTTTGGTTTTCTATCCCATAAATAATTACCGTGACAGTCTTTAAGCCTCCTAGCACTCTTGAATTATGGTTACAACTTGCAACAAGAGTAGCCTTGTCGGACAAACCATACTTAAAAAGCAGATGTTCCTTTTCCTAGACGGTAATTATAGTTGCGGGTAAATTGCAAGTGTTGGTCAGTACTAAAATATTGTTTGGTCATTAAAAGTGTTTAAAATAACTTATTTGGGCGCAAATAACTCGTTTGACTGCGTTTTACTGAAATGAGTTATTTAGACAGTGAGTTATTTACGAGTCATGTGTTATTTCGAAATAACTTGTTTTATCACTCTGCTTTTACCAAATACCACATGTCAAATACCACATTTGCATGGTTCTACCAAACGAGATACTTTATTTCAATTACCACTGAAATATCACATGAGCAATAAATGAGTTATTTGACTCTACAAATACCACATTGACAATTAACCCATCCAAACGATCCTTAATTTTTTTCTTATGCTACCAAGTACTCTTAATATTAAACAACAATATATGTACCTTTCAAAACACTCTCTAAATTAAGAATCTATATTGACTCTCTTACAAGATCAATTCTCGAAATCACATTGCGAGTTTAGATTCACTCATCACGAAGTCCAAACTAGCGGGTCTTGCTAGCATAGTTAGTAAATACTCCGTTTAATACACGTATATGTACCCGTACGTACTTTATCCGTTTAAAACTTGCGTATCCGTATTATTGTCAAGCCGTTTCATTTTCCCCCGTTCATTTCATGGTTCCTGTACTAAACACGTATAAAACCCGTATAACACGTTTATTATTCGTATTTTACGAATTAAATTGTTAACTTTACTATTATTTATATATTTATTTATTTTTAAAATGATTAATTTTATATATTTATGACTATTAACGTACTATTAAATGTAATTTTAGCTTAAAGATGAAGTATAATGCCCGTACGTATCTTTTATGTAACTTTCCCGTACCGTATTTTACTAACTATGCTTGCTAGTTTGAAATTCAAATTGACAAACAAGAAAGGTCATAATGGTAAATAGAATCTGCATTATACAACACGCACAGCCTGCCTGCTTGGTGCTGATTTTCAAATCGGGTTAAAGACACATTTGGTCACTGAGATTACAAAATCGGGACATGTTTAGTCACTAGAAAAAATTAATATCAAATTTGGTCACTACAATTACTAAAACTGGACACATTTAGTCACTCGCCGTTAGTCTCCGTCCAACTCCGTTAATGAAGTCCGTTAAGTGATGATGTGGCAAACAGAAATGCCTAATCAGCCGGATATAACCCAACAAAAATAAAACCCGACCCGCCACGTCATTAAAACCAACCCAACCCATGACCCAACCCCACCCAACCCTTCTTCCTCCTTCCTCTCACCTCCTTCTTTCCCCAAAACCCTTCTTCCTCCTTCCTCTGCACACATCTGGATCATACTGTTGTAGACCCGCCTGAGAGAGTCCGAAATCGGCCACTTTCGCGACGAAATTCTCGTCCAGCAGGATGTTCGTCGACTTGACGTCCCTGTGAATAATCCCCCCGTCGGATCCGGTGTGAAGATAGTGCAGGCCTTTGGCCGACCCGATGCAGATCTCGAACCTCTGCTTCCAATTCAGCATCGTGGTGGTGGAAGCCACGGAGGAGGGAGGAGAAGAACTTGAATCATCATCGTCGGATCTGTAGAGATGGTCTCTGAGGGTTCCGTTTTTCATGAACTCGTAGACGAGGATCATCTCGGCGCCGTCGTCGCAGTACCCGATTAAGGAGACGAGGTGGCGGTGGCGGATCTTGGAGAGGACTAAAACCTCTGTTTGAAATTCGGGTCGGCCTTGTCCGTGACCCGATTCGCTTCTCTTCACCGCGACTGTCACTCCGTTTGCGAGCTTGCCTTCGTATACTTTCCCGAACCCGCCGGATCCGATTAGAAGCTTCGGGTTGAAATTGTCAGTCACGGCGAGGATTTCCGTCAATGGCATCTTGAGCTTGAGATTCAGCTCCGGTAGAGGAAGGAGGAAGAAGGGTTTTGTCTACAACAGTATCATCCAGATGTGTGCAGAGGAAGGAGGAAGAAGGGTTTTGGGGAAAGAAGGAGGTGAGAGGAAGGAGGAAGAAGGGTTGGGTGGGGTTGGGTCATGGGTTGGGTTGGTTTTAATGACGTGGCGGGTCGGGTTTTATTTTTGTTGGGTTATATCCGGCTGATTAGGCATTTCTGTTTGCCACATCATCACTTAACGGACTTCATTAACGGAGTTGGACGGAGACTAACGGCGAGTGACTAAATGTGTCCAGTTTTAGTAATTGTAGTGACTAAATTTGATATTAATTTTTTATAGTGACTAAACATGTCCCGATTTTGTAATCTCAGTGACCAAATGTGTCTTTAACCCTTTTCAAATCTCATACCGAAATATATGAACTCGACTCGGTTATCTTTTTTACGAACCCCACCCCCGCCATTTTCAAGCTCCGATTCGCAGACGCAGAGTCGTCGGGCCTGCTCCTTCTCTCTCACGGATCGTCGTATTCGGAACCTCCATTTTTGCTCGCTCAAGGTGTCATTACTGGAAGCTGAAGCAAATTGTATCTTCGTCTAATTACCGTCTACCTCTCTCCCATTTTATCCAGTTGTTAGGGTTTCTGTTCTCCTCATTCGGTAACCAATGTCGATCAATCTCACGCCCAACTCAATAGCCGCCATCAACGGCGGCGACTTGAACTTGAAACCGCTGGTTCAGGTTCTGGACATCAAGCAGATAGGCACCTCCCAGGAGCGGTACCGGCTACTCATCTCCGATTCCGTCTCCACTCACCACGCGATGCTCGCCACGCAGCTCAACGACCGCGTCAAGACCGGCCGCGTCAAGAAGGGATCCGTTGTTCAATTGATTGATTACATGTGCAGCGATGTTCAGAATCGCAGGTGAGTTTCTCATCTCTTGTAGTGGCTTCGTCGTTACTTTTCGCGTTTGGAAAGTTGAAATGCAGAATTCGGTAGTAGTGCGTTCTTCGTTAGAGATCGAAGTACCGTGCAGCAGTTTGAAATTTCGAACTCCATTAGCAGTTAACTGTTCAATGTTCCTGGTTATAGCTCGTTTTCTGGCATTATTTTCCCTGGTTTCTAGATAGCTATGACTTGTTCTGTTGTGTTCAATAGAAGGATAAGAGTTGAGCAAGAATTTGTCTCCCACTGCTATGGTGGAATACTGAATCTACTGCTCTTGTGGTACAGGATTGTGGTTGTGCTGAATATGGAAACTATAGTCCTAGATTGTGATATTATTGGAAACCCTAAATTGGGTGATATGACTGCTCAGAAGACAGTTTCCAATCTCAATTCAGCGCAACCAGGCAGGTCTGTCTACGACAATCGTGGTAATATTCAAAGTTTTCGTCCTGCATTCAATGCTCAAAATCCAGGAAGCAACAATATGCAAGGCCTGCAGACTAATCCTTTGCTCCAAAGTCAAGGTATGCAAGGTTCGCGCCCTATGTTGATGGTTCCAAATGGAAGCAATGGTGTACTGAGATCAGCTACTGGGAAGAATAATAATAATACACAGACTTATGCACCTACAGTTCAACCTGCATACCAACCCCCTCCAAGTTATAGAAACCAAGGGCCAATTATGAAGAATGAAGCACCAGCTCGAGTGATTCCAATTTCTGCTCTGAATCCGTACCAGGGACGATGGGCTATCAAGGCCCGAGTGACTGCAAAAGGCGATCTACGTCGTTACAACAATGCCAAGGGAGATGGCAAGGTCTTCTCCTTTGACCTTCTTGATTCTGATGGAGGGGAAATTAGAGCCACCTGCTTCAATGCTGTTGTTGACCGCTTCTATGATGTTATAGAGGTAGGGAGAGTCTACTTGATCTCGAAGGGTGGTCTGAAGCCAGCTCAGAAGAATTTCAATCATCTAAAGAATGAATGGGAGATATTTCTTGAGGCAGCTTCGACTGTCGATCTTTGTCCTGAAGAAGATGGTGGTTCTATACCACAGCAACAGTTTGATTTTAAGCCAATCAGCGAGATAGAGAGTGCTGAAAACAATTCCATACTCGATATAATTGGCATCGTGATATCTGTGAAGCCCTCAGTCCCTATCCTGAGAAAGAATGGCATGGAGACTCAACGAAGAACTGTGGGTATGAAGGACAGTTCAGGTAGAAGTGTTGAGCTTACTCTTTGGGGAGATTTCTGCAATAAGGAAGGTCAGAATCTGCAAGAGTTGGTTGATTCGGAGATGTTTCCTGTTTTAGCTGTCAAAGCAGGAAAAGTCAGTGACTTCACCGGGAAATCAGTGGGGACAATTTCTTCTACTCAGCTGTTCATAAATCCAGACATTCCCGAAGCTCATGTCCTGAGCGATTGGTTTGCCCGAATTGGCCAGAACTCTGCTGCTGTGTCAATTTCCAGGGACGTGGTGCCTTCAGGGTCCAAGAACGAGATCAGGAAAACTGTATCTCAAATCAAAGAGGAAGGTCTTGGAAGATCAGACAAGCCAGACTGGGTCACCGTGAAGGCTACCATAACCTATTTCAAACTGGACTCGTTCTGCTATCCAGCTTGTCCATTGATGATAGGGGACAGGCAGTGTAACAAGAAGGCGACGAGATCAGGAACACGATGGGTATGCGACAGATGCAGTCAAGAATTCGATGAATGCGATTACAGATACCTGCTGCAGTTTCAGATTCAGGACCACACAGGGTTAGCTTGGGTTACAGCATTCCAGGAGTCCGGGGAAGAGATCATGGGTTACCCGGCGAAGGAAGTATACCAACTGAAGCACGAGGCACAGGACGAGGCGAGACTTTCAGACGTTTTCAGAAGCAGGGTGTTCTACCCTTACCTTTTCAGGCTCAAGATCAAAGAGGAAATGTATGCCGATGAAACGAAGGTGAAGATCACCGTCGTCAGGGCTGACAAGATCGATTACTCGTCGGAGACCAGACACATGCTCGACACGATTTCCAGATTCCGCAGGTATTGAATTCTCGAACACGTTTGATTCTCGACAGAGGCTGGAGCATTATTGCCCTCATCAGACTAGGGCATTTGAGTTTCACACTTCGCTTACATATATATAACCATTAGTTAGATTATCATTTACCTTCGAGGCAGAAACATTATTATCATGTAATAGCCAATACCCAATAGGCATTAGGCAGAGAAGATGAACGATTGTTTTTTACTTAGAAAGGAAACCATGCAGATTACATTGAGAGCATTAACAGTAGAAATTATTACAAAAAGCAAACTGCGGCCCTCTTCTTCCCTCTCAGCTCCGCTTGACAGGGTCGAAATTGGAGACGCCAACTATGGCGCCGATGATGGCGGTGAGCACGACGCCGCCGGCGATGATGCTGAGCAAGAAGTTCTTGAGCGAGGGGCTGACCTCAGCGGCTTCCGCCACGTCGGGGATGACCATGGAAGCAGTAAGGGCGGCGGCCGTCAATCCGGTGACGGCCTTCTCCTTCAGGGAAGCCCTGACGACTTGGGATCTGACCCTTCCGGCGCTGGATGATGATGGGCTTGCCGGTGGCAGAGGCTTGAAGGACAAGAAACCCTGCGAAGGAGAAAGCAGCGCCGCCGCCTTCTGGTTGGCGTAGGTCAGCGGCATGGACATTGACACGGCTGAAGTAGAAGCGGCCATGTTTGGTTGTGTTGGTTTCTTACTGGTGTCTCTTCTTCTAAGGGTTTGATTGGGGAGTTTCTTCTCTCTCGCTGAGGAACAAAAGACGGGGGGAGTGAAGAGGGAGCTGTTTTTTCTAGTTTAGGATGCGGAGAAATGAGAGGTAGGAAACTGACACTGAGATCTCGATTGTGTGTCCTACGTGGCAACCTCTCCGTTGGGGAGTGGTGGATAGGGTTATCTTCCTTGGCCTAATCACCATCACATTCGTTAAAGTGGGAGAATTTTCGCCTTCGGTTTGGGCTTCATTTTTCCGTAGATTGGGCTGGCAAGTTCGGTGCCAAAGAAAAGAGGACCCTCTCGAGCCCACCCAAGTTGTACCAGCAAGTAGCAACATTCCCGACGAGAGGACTTTATGGCATGTTCAGAGATATAAGAGGGTTACACCGGATGAGTGTTACAGATTTCATAGTTGCGCGGTTTAACCGTGATTCAATGATTCTATATCCGTGAAATAGCAATTTGGTATATGATTTTTTAATTAGATTGTCAGCACACGTTTTTTTTTGCAAACACGAATTTAGATAACCAAAACATTGAGAAATGAAATTTTATTTTCAATTTCGATCTTGTTATTTTATGGAACGAGAAATGGATAGGAAATGAATTTCTTTTGTTCTAAATTTTAAGAACTGAAAATCTTGTTAAAAAGTAGTTAGAATTGGGTTTATAGAGATAAAATAAGTGTCTCACAAAAAGTTACTATTATTTTTATCATTTCACTATCATTGTTAAAAATACAACTAATTTACATAGTTGTGAGAATTATATCAAATTGATATTATTTGGCTCACAAACATGTGAATTTTAAAGAGTATATTTTCATGTGGGATGTACTTGCGAAAACACATTATTTTGTTCGGTAAATTTGTGCTAAAAATTGTGTTATAAATATGCAAGGCTAGAGTTTTACTCTTTTGTGATTCATGTACTACTTAAGTGATTCGAACCTGAAATCTCTAGATTCTAGACTAACGGTGTTAAACCCATAAGTTATTACATTAAAAAAAAATATAGATAATTTATTTGTCCGATCACAATTTATAATGCGTAAATTCAGTTCTGCAAAGTGCAAATAACAGGGAGGTACCCTATCATGATTAGAAGTGAGATTATCATTGTGACAATTATATGGCTGCTGGCCATCATTATACGCTCGAAACTAATTACTGCAAGGAAAAGAGAAGCAAATTCCCACCGTCAAACACTGGAACTTGGAAGAGATCTCACAAGACCATTATTTTCCCCCCTTTCTTTCCCTGATAAAGAATAAGACTGTTAGCTATTACACAGAACTGTGCAAGAAGCCAAGAACTATACATCTATTCAATTGCGTGACGCTTAACCCAAAACTAAAAGCTAAAATCTTTGAAATCTGCGACTATGATAATGATACAGAGGAAGAAAAAAAAAAGTTATACATAAAAAGGAGAAATCCCTATGAACAAACCAAGGAGATATAGCTGCAGAGGAGGTCCTCAGTCATCTTGGAGGCGGCAGCACAGCCCCTGACCCAGCAGCATTAGCTGTCAATCCTCCGACGTACCTGACATGAACTTCCTGCGGCGGCAAATGATATTTGATCCCAACCTCCTCGAAAATCTTCTTCATCTCCACCATTAGATCGGAAATCCTGCCCCCTCTCTCCCCACTCTGGAAATTCATGGTGTGACTTATATACAAACCCATATGCATCTTGTTCATGTCTTCAATCCCCAACACCAGCACGCTGTGTGCCGGTCGCCAGTACTGTGGCTTGCTCTCCAAGTAACCTTTGATCCTGTCTTTCATGGCCCCAATCTCGTCCATCGAGGTCGAGACGTCCACAGAAAACTCAACTGAATCGCTCATCTCGGGGCTCCTGCAGAAGTTGCTGATGGGTTTGCCCACCAGAACCGAGTTGGGGTAGAATATCTTCTCGTTGTCGTACCTCAGGAACACCGTTGTCAGTAGGTTCATCTCTTCGACAACCATCTGCAAGAACAATGGGGGGAAATGAGAAGAGTTAATATTGCTAGGAGGGCATAACTAAGCTGCACATTCTTTCAAGCTGAGTGTGTAGTGCTCTTGCCTGGATCCCATCGATGACACAACGATCCCCCACGTCGAAGGGATGCATCACAAACACGAACACGATGGCTTCGAACACTGTCTTGGCAGTGCTTCCAAACATGAACCCGACTAGCAAGATTTGCGAGGAAATGAAGACCAAAACTTGAGTTGAAAGGAATCCCATCACTAGTAGCCATGCAACAATCATAACGAGAACGAGAACAGCCGAAACCAGCTTGTTCAGCTCCTCGATGGCAGTCTTGGTATCGTTTAACGAATGTACTAGCGATTTTCGCTCTTTGTACACCTTGACCTGCAAAAGGAGTACATCAATCTATAATGAGAAGGAAAATCTTCCGATAATCATACTGAAAGATCTAACACAGCAAGTGAACCATAAGGGTGACCAGCTAACAGACCAGCCACTTCCAGAAAACAGATCTCTTGATCTTCCCAGTTGCCGAAGCTCCTTCGAACAGGAGAATGAAATTGTCCACCTCTTCCTTCTTCAAGAACCGTAGCAGGTCATCTTCATCAATGTACCTGCATTACATCAACCAAAACAACATAACTATATATTTGTTGCGAAAGCTAAAACAATCATCTTGTCAATCTAACTTCTTTTGTTCAAGGCAGAGTTACAGAGATTCATGAATCTTACTTGCTGCCCGTTTTGGCTACATTCCTGAAGACCTTATGCGCCGCGACTTTGGCTTCCCACTCACTGGTAATCTCGTAGTCTTTCTGCCGATACTCCTCCTCAGTTTCTTCAGTTTCCTCAAGTATGCTTGAAAGAGTTGACAATCCTGTCCCACGAACCACTTCAACCAACCCTTTCATGGTCCAAGCAGAGACCTTCCCGTGCTTGAGTTTCTTCAGCTTATCCACATCAATCACCTCCTCTTTCTTCTCTTCCTTCTCCTTGTCTATGCTTCTAAAGCTCAACTGCCCAGGTGTCCCTACTCTGCTTCCAATTGCCTCGGCCATTTCCATCACCGGAGGACCCGAGAGAGCCCTCAGCACATACTGATGGAAGATGGATTCCTGGATTCTGTCGAAGAATCTACTGACATGGTACGAGGAAGCTACCAACTTGATCAACAGAGTCTTCAGCAGCCAAATCCCAGCCGCGACTAACAACCCAGCAATGGCTCTGGTTATCCGATTGAGAGCCCTTCTAGTACCTCGAGATCTCTCAACCCCATGAGTGAACAAGAGTGCCCAAGCTAAAAGCACCAACCCTAGCCAAACCAATACTTGGAAACAGTTCTTCAAACCATACACAAAGTAGAGGACCTTCACCTTGAGCAAGAACTTCCTTTCGACCAAGAATACTAACACATTCACAGACCATTCAGTAACCAATCTACCACAGAGAATTACCAGAACCAGAACGCACCATTTCCAGAGCTGCAATCCCCAGATGTAGGAATTCTGCAGCCTGTGAATCGTCAAGCTAGAAATTAACAGCCCTACCATGACGAAAAACGCCGCCATCTCAAGCAACGTGATTACCTTCCACTTGCTACCGGTCTTGCTGCTCTTCACTTGGGCGACGTTTGCGGTCTTGCAAACCCCATTGCCGTCATCCTCTTCATCATCTTCTTCTTCTTCCCCCCGCTGCGGAGATCCAATCAACGGCGTTCTGGGAGTAATCGGAGTCGCCGACTTCGCCGTACCTTTCGAGAAACTTCCATTCCCACTGGAAATCGCGCCGCTGTTGTTGTTATTAGAGCGGTAAGGGGATTTCTTGTTGTAAGGCGAGCCACCGGAGTTCGCCGCCAATTGGGCAGCCGCCGCAGCCTCCCCCGTCTTGGCTTCCTTGAGAATCGCGTCGCTTGCGTACGGCGGAGGCGGCTCGACGAGCCTGGATTTCGGCCTGCTGAACTCCGACTGCCCTGTACGGCACTTTCTTCTTGCCATTGAACTGGCCGGAGCGGGTCTCGAAACAGGGGAGGGAATCGCCGACCACGGCGTCCCCGGAGAATCGGGGAAAGTGGAGGCGTGGGGGACTCTGAGCCTGGGAGTCGGAGTCTCCGACTCCGTCTCGGCATTCTGTTTACTGCTGTTCCTGGGAGTGGGAGGGAAAGAAGAAGCTACCTGCGGGCTGGCCGGAGGGAGACGATCTCTGCTTTCGGGACTGGGAAAGAAAAGCTGCTGCTGCTGGCGGGACTCGGGGCTTCTGATTTGGAGCACCACTTCATGGGTTTGAGTCCCTTTTTTATCTGGCGGGGCTGATTTTGCTCCGGTTTCCATTCCGGCGGCGGGCGCGAATGGATCTGGGAGAAGGGAACAGAGTACTGAAGAATCGAAGATGGCTGGGAAAAGGGTATATGTATGCAGAGCGAGCAGGCTGGCGCATGGTGAAGATTTGACCGGAGATCGTCATTGGTTAAAGAATAGCAAGTGGGTAGGAAGGAGGACGGAGACGTTTATGCCAGTGGAGGGAAAGAAAGTGGAAATGAAGTTTTTTTGGTGACGGAAGGAAGGCGTTTCAACTTGTGATTTAAGAATGGTGGGAAATGGTTTTGCAAGAAAGCGGAACAACAAGCGAAGAAGGTTAGGCGCCGCAGGCAGGCAACGACAAGGGAAAAGGCTGCTGGCTAGCCGAGCCTGCATATTGTTTAATGCATCAATTAATCAACTTGGTGGACAACTTGAAGGGAGAATCAATCAGGCTGGAGGAGGCTGGCTGGTACGGGCAGTTGTTTGTTTCTTCCGGGAACCACCGGTGATGACGCACATGAAGGTTGAAGGGTTGCCAATGGGCGGGGCCGGCCGGGGATTATTGTAAAGCCCACCAATATATGCATCGCATAATGGAGGAGTAGGTCTGCCGCGATCCGATTACGAGGTTTTTCGATGCGTTGATAGTTCTTGTCTTATCCTTGTCCAGCACCGACGATCTAAAAAGGGTTGCGGGAAGTCGAAAACTCAATGGTCAATCAAAGTATTTCCAGGGATATAATATGATGCACTAGGTTGGGTTCGTTGAAATCTAATAATGTATTAGGGATGGAAATTGGGGTGGCTGCGGTTACCCGCCACACATTTTGTGGGTAACCATACCCACAAATATAGAGGGAAAAATTCCAAAATACACATTTTTTAAAAAAAAAAATTCTCAAAATACACACGTTTTATGAAATATTCTCAATCTACACATGTTTTGACAAAACCGCGTTCGTTAAACGCGGTGAACAGTATCACCGCGGTCGTCGAAAGCGATGAACGCTTCACTGCAGCCTTTAATAG